TAGGAACTCTGTGTATGAGGTCGTAGAGCTTTGTTGACCAAACCCACACGGGCTGAGTAGGGCTAAAGGCCGTGTCTGACGACTGACTGACCCGGAGCACAAACCCTCCCAAGGACCGGTACAGACCGGCGGGCTGCTCAGTGTGGCATGGTAGGCCCAAATCCGAGCTGTGGGCTGCACAACAAGCTGTCTAAGTCTTGACAGGACTTGCTCATTGCGTCGTCCTGTCTGCGACGCTAAATAATTCCCGAGTTACGGGGGATCTCCTTAAATGCCTCCTGATCAGCATTGAGTCCTGTAGTTACAGCCGTAGTATTAGGTCCAGGCTAGTGACCATAGTTGACAGAGTCCTATCCGGATCCTGTGGTCCTTAGACAGTCAGTCGGTCGAGTGGGTACCTAAGTGGTGAGGCATGGGACAGTCATTGTCGTGCACCTAACACCATGGATGACTACCCTATGTACAGTCTGCTTGTGGGGTTCTCCCTCTGGGGGACCCTCCAACGTCTCCTCTTTCCGTTAGGTTTCTGGAACACCTTCACATGTAGGGTGGAGACCAAGGGTGGTGTTAGCACCACTCCCTACACGAAGGAGCAGGAGGAGGAGGCTGCGAGGATCTTGGTCGAGCAGAAGGCTAAGAAGGAGAAGAAAGAGGTCGTAAAGCACACCAAGAAATTGGCCTTATTGCAGGAGCAGGCCGCGAAAAGAAAGAAGTTGGAGGATGAGCTAGAAAGGGTGAAAAAAGAGGAGGAAGAAAAACTGAAAGCAGTGGAGGCCGAAGAAGAAAAAGAAGAGAGAGGAGGAAGTTTCCCTGATCAAAAAGAGTTTCAGGGACAGAGGGAAGTCCAATGGCACGAAGAAGGAGGGGGACCTGTGGTTGGAAAAGAAGGTGTCTGAGTGGGTCACCAATCTATCCTTGGGAGAAGAGGAGGAGGCGATGTTATATGTCACCAGGGAAGAACAGGAGGCGGTCATTAAGGAGTTGGAAGCCGAAGAAGATCCCCTCAAGCGTTAGACGATAGAAGAAGAGAAGAAACTAGAATGGAAGTTGCGTCTGACCAGGGAGAAGAAGAGAATGGAGGAGGCGAGTAAGGCAGCCAAGGAGTTGGAGGCGGTGAAGCAACAACGGGCGCAGATGGAGGCGCAACCGGATTGGCAAGGGAAGATGGAGGTGATGGCGAAGAATATAGAACTCATAGCAAGGGCCCACGAATGTGGGCTCAGAAGTAAAGGCGAGGCTAGAAAACACAGAGCGATTCTGCACAGGCGCCATAGAAGGCGCGGAAATTGCTGCTCCAAGGGAGGAGGAAGTTTGTCCCCGTAGAGGGCCTGTGAAGGTGATTCCCTGATTCCTACAGCGGGAAGAAGGCCGAGAACTTTCATAATTGGGAGGCAAACATGAACTCCTACGTACACCTTCAGAAGATAGCTCCCAAGGAACATGTCCTCAAAGCCTTCCATGCCCTTAAAGACGAAGCAGCTAGCTTCACCAGGTCGCTTTGCCGTGCTGCCAAGTACGAGAATGATATGGTCGCCTATTCCCTGATCACCCCCCTCAATGACTTCTTTAAGTTACTGTGTGGGAGGTTTGCAAATGTCACGCGTAGTGTTGAGCTTCTGACAAACTACAAACCATCCACTCCCGCCAATGGAGGAGTGCTAGGGCGCTTAAGGGCGTTATGGATGAACTGATCGTCGTTCCTGACCATGGGGTCACTGAGACTCAATTGGTCAATCTATTCTATCGTGCCATGCCCGAGCCCTTGCGTGGGCACTTCTTTGAGAAGAGTCAGGAGTCTACCATGACCTACGATACTTTGAGTAGGGAAGTGGTAGCATTTGAAGCACGGTCCATGCCAGTTTCCACTTTCTGGCATAAAGACCTTGACAAGGGTAAGAAGTGGAAGGCTGTAAGAAGTGGAAAGGCTGTACCATCTCTGGCTAAGTCAAGGCCAAGGATCACTTGATCCTGACTTTAGATAAGGTGGTATGGAACAGGTCCCTTACACATAGATAGAGTGGGGCCTGAAGGAGGATGACAGTGGTGATAGTCAGGGGAGGACTTACGCTGCTATCGCGGCTGGAGGGATGTTGCAAGGTAGAGGAGGAGGCCGGGGCCAAGGAGGTCAGACTTCCAATGGTCGAGGACATGGCGATCAGGGGTTGGTGGCAGAGGAGGCCGCCAAGCGGGAGGTAGGGGTCAAGGTCCCCCGCAAAACCGCTCTCGTTTTACTCGGTCACCTAGGAGGGGTGGATGGCACCCTGGCTTGCCGCAAGGCAGGCCCTGGGAAGATCTGGGCCTAGAGCAGACATTTTGGCAGAGGAGGATAGATCAGGATCAATGTATCTATTGCGGTGACCCTGGTCATATTATTAAATACTGCCCTATGTATAGAGAGGCCCAGTTTGCTGCACAGGTAGCAAAAGGCAACCGTTGGTAGGGGTTGCAACTGCCCTTACCCCTAGACCATGTGGAGAAGAGTGCGCGCACCACATAGAAACTCCCAAACCACATGTGTCTATGGCAGAGGTTGCTGGCCAGTGCCTAGACAACTGTCCAGAGACTGCTTGTGTTAGAGTCTCTCTAGGCACTTCCCTCACAGGCGTGGCATAAGAATTGAAGGAGAGAATGCCTGCCTGGGCCAAGATGAAGAAGGAGGTGAAAGGACATCTAGTCTTAGTAGATGTAGAGGTCTTTAGAAGTAGAGTAGGGCCCCTTATAGACAGTGGGGCCACCAGCAACTATATCAGTAGAAAAGCGCTGCAA